ATATATACTAAACCCTAAAACATATACCTTAAACATAGGCCCTACAACATACACCTTAAAGACTTCTGCATGTGATATCACATCTCTAGTACTCATCTTCGGTGGGCGTTGCTGTAAGGGCCCTCCTGCGTGGCCAGGCTGTGACGTGTTGTTTGTTTTTTATGTGCGAGAGCTGCGTAGGTGTGTGTAGCATGGCATACACAACAACTAGTACATAGACCTATTGCCTGCCTTTCCCAACTCATCTTAAACCCTAAACCCAACCCCTAAACCTGATCAGTTTATATCTCCTACAGGTCAGTCAGTGTGGCATCGCAGACAAAGTGCTCTTAGCCAACCACACGCCTGAAGGGTCGCGACGGTATGTGTACACCAACAACACACTCAACACACTACCCATGGGGCTCAAGGACCTGGTCACTCGCCCAGGTATGCTATGTCACTTTGTGCACGAATGCGTTGTCATGGTTACGGTAGACGGTATGTGTACACCAACAACACACTCAACACACCACACATGGGACTCAAGGACCTGGTCACCCACCCAGGTATGCTTTGTCACTCTGTGCACGAATGCGTTGTCATGGTTACGGTAGTGCGAGACGGCTGCATATGGCTATAGTTGATGGCTTGAAACCCTGTAACGCTGACAGCTTTGGCTATGTGTACGAAGCATGCTAATGAGCATATGCAAGTACACTGTTTTCAAGGCTTACTAGAATACGCATATTAAACGCATATCTAGAATATACATGCTAAACGCATATCTAGAATATACATATTAAACGCATATCTAGAATATACATGTTAAACGCATATCTAGATGATGCATGTTAATCGCATATCTAGAATATACATGTTAAACGCATATCTAGAATATACATGTTAAACGCATATCTAGATGATGCATGTTAAACGCATATCTAGAATATACATGTTGACGCATATCTAGATGATGCATGTTAAACGCATAACTAGAATATACATGTTAAACGCATATCTAGAATATACATGTTAAATGCATATCTAGAATATACATGCTAAACGCATATCTAGAATATACATATTAAACGCATATCTAGAATATACATGTTAAACGCATATCTAGATGATGCATGTTAAACGCATGTCTAGAATATACATGTTAAACGAATATCAGAATATACATGTTAAACGAATATCTAGATGATGCACGTTATACGCACATCTAGAATATACATGTTAAACGCATATCTAGAATATGGATGTTAAGCGTATAGCTAGACTAGTGCGTCTAACATGCATATTCTAGTAAACGCATATCCAGAATTTACATGTTAAACACATATCTAGAATATAAATGTTAAACGCATCTAGAATATACAAGTTAAAAGCATATCCAGATTATACATGTTAAACGCATATCTAGAATATACATGCTAAACGCATATCTAGAATATACATGTTTAACGCATATCTAGAATATACATGTTAAACGCATATCTAGAATATCCATGTTAAACGCATATCCAGAATATGCATGTTAAACGCATATCTCGATGATGCATGTTAAACGCATATCTAGAATATACATGTTAAACGCATATCTAGAATATACATGTTAAATGCATATCTAGATGATGCATGTTAAACGCATATCAAGAATATACATGTTAAAC